GCGGACTTCGACCGCGGACTTCGACCGCGGACTTCGACCACGGACTTCGACCGCGGACTTCGACCGCGGACTTCGACCGCGGACTTCGACCGCGGACTTCGACCGCGAGGGCATTCGTCATGGGAGCGCGCCGCGCCCGCGGACGCGCGCGCCCGATCCGATCGCCGGGGCTACGCCGCGGCGATGCTCGCGCGGGCAGCCATGACCGCATCGATCAATAGGGAAATTTCGACCCAAATTCTATCGACTTCACGGCAATGCAGACCGCGTTCCGCCGGCGATGCCGCGGCGCGCTCGCGCGGCGCGGCTCCTCGGGCGAGCGCGGTCGGCGGGGCGACCCCCGGCGGCGGCCGGCCTCAGTCCGCGTCGCCGCCGTCCTCCATCTGCCACTTGTCGACGCCCGCGAAGCGGTCCGCGGCCTCGCTCCGGGCCTGGCCGGAGCCCGTGAGGCTCATGGCCACCTTGCCGCCCTTGTGCTTCCAGCCGAAGAGCCCCCCGCGGAGGCGGCGGAAGCGCTTGGCCTTGAGCGTCATGTGGCCCGCGCGGAGGATGAAGCGGCAGAAGGACCGGCACCGCGAGAAGGGCGTCGCGACCGCGGAGAAGACGATGATGGGCTGGTGGCGCCGCGTCGAGAGGATCTCGTGGATGAGGTCCGTGCCGAGGGCGGCGACGATCCCGTAGTCGAATACGGCCTTCATGGGCACGCTCCAGGCGCCGGGGATCGTCCCCTTCTCCGCGCGGCCCCGGCCCTCGCGGACGTCGATCCAGATCGCGCCGTCGGCGTCGTGGAGCTTCTGGGCCTTGGGCAGGCCGACCCAGCGGACCTCGTCGACGTCGCCGCCGAGGCCGTCGGAGATCCACGACGCGGCCCACGAGTCCATGCGCGCGCCCTCGGCCTCCTCCGCGGCCTTCTCGACCTCGGACACGGACGCCTCCCACCACCACTGGAACTGCTGGTCGTCGTCGTCGTCGTCGTCGGCGAACGCGGCGTCGTCGTCGGCGGTCCACGCGAAGGGGCTCGTCTCCTTCTCGACGCCGAGGGCCACGAGGAGCTTGCGCTGCTCCTTGGGGTCGCTCAGCGTCTCGAACGCGCCGTACGTCTTCCGGAACGCGGCGTTCGCCTGCGGGTGCCGGTTCTTGTCGGGGTGAACTGCGAGGGAGATTTTGCGGTACTGGCGCTTGATCGTCGACGCGTCCCGGATCGCCTCCACGGGCAGGTCGAGCACCTCGAACTCGTTCTCCGCGGCGAGGACGCGGTCGATGGCCTTGTCGTAGTAGAACTGCGGGTCGAGCTTCACGGCGTACATGCCCTCGCGCGCCTCCTCCTCGGTCACGAAGACGACCTCGTCGCCCTTGGGGAGCTTGTCGCGCGCGCGCTGCGTCGGGTGCACGTCGAGGTTCTCCCAGCGGACGCGGTAGGTCTTGTCCGCGAACGCGACGACGTAGCGGCCGGCCGCCTCGTCGTAGGCCTCGGCGACGACGCCGGACCGGCCGTTGAGGTCCGCGAGGCGCGTGAGGCCCTTGACGATGACGAGCGTGCCCTTGGCGAGCGCGGTCCGCGCCGTCGGCGCGGCGTCGTCGGCGACGCCGCCGACGGGCACGGCCGCGCCGTCGACGGCCGCCGCCGCCGCGGCCTCGGCCTCGGCCGCGGCGCGCCGCGCCTCGGCCTCGGCGTCCGCGGCGCGCCGCTCGGCGTCCGCCGCCTCCGCGGCCTCGAGGGCGCGGAAGTAGCGGCCCTTGACGTCGCCGTAGTGCGCCCAGGCCCGGAGCGCGGCCGGCGACGCCGGGTACGGGCCCGTTGCGGCCGTGCTCGTGCCGGCGTACCAACGCCGCATCTTCGCGAAGAGCGTCGCCGCCTCGGCCGCGGCCTCGGCCTCGGCCTCGTAGGCGTAGACGTCGTCCTCCGGCGCGTGCTCGAGGAACGCGAGCCGCGCCCGCCGCACGCGCAGGAGCCGGCCGCCGAGCGCGACGACGTAGCGCTCGTCGCCGCCGGCGGCCGCGGGCGCCTCGCGGACGACGGCGGACTTGCCCTCGAGGTCCGGCGCGCCCGCGAGGCCCTCGAGCCGGACCTTGGCGCCCGCGGGCCAGGGCTCCTCGACGGCCGCGGGCGCCGCCGGGTCCTCGTCCTCGCGCCGCAGGAGCCGGAGCGACGCCCACCCCTTGACGGGGAGCACGATCTCGCAGCGCTCGACCTCGCGGTCGCCGGCGACGACGCGCTTCACGGTCTCGACGCGCACGCGCGTGCCGCACTCCACCTCGCAGACCTTGTGGCTGCTGAGCAGGGACCCGGCGCGCAGCTGGCAGCCCTTCTTACCAGTTACTATGTACCAACTCATGGGCGAGGTTCTCGAGCCCGACCGGCGGTCGACGGCGAGGGTCACGGAGTCCGACCGGCGGTCGACGAGGCGAGGGCGGCGTGTCACGCGAGATTTCGGGCGCACATCGATGGCTGGAAGGGGAGATTGAGGTGGCTAGGCCGAAGGTGGCGAGGCAAGGGACTGCAACTTGCGGGGCTGCAAGATGATGCAATGTAACTAATGTTGTCGCCAACTTTGCCCTCATTGCACCTTCTACTCCCAGGGCGAGGCCGAGCTGGGTCTCCTTGCACAAGTGGACTACGACGAACACGCCGGCGCCGACGACGACGCGCCGCGGGGCTGCCGCACACGCCGGCGCCGACGACGACGCGCGCCGCGGGGCTGCCGCACCAAAGAACATCCTCGCCGTCGACGCGCCGCGGCGCTGCCGCCGCGGGCGCGGCGCGATGGCCGACTTCGCCCGCCACTACTGGACGGCCCTGCCCGATTTTTTCAAGACGGCCTACTACAAATCAAAGGGGCTCATCGGCCGGGCGGACCTCGAGGAGGCGGGCCCGGTCTGCGGCGCGGCGCTCGACGCCGGCGGCTCGCCGCCCCGGGACGTCGTCTTCCTGCGCACGGAGCCCGAGCGCTTCGGCGACGGCGTCGTCCTGCGCGAGGGCCTCGCGCTCCGGTGCCGGCTCCACGGCGGCGACGCGGCGTCGAAGCCGCGGCCGGTGGTCGTCGTCATCCGCGACAGCGCCTTCGAGGGCGCGCAGCTCTCCGCGCGCGCGCCGTCGTGCCTGGCCTACCTGGGCCGGGAGTTCCTCGTCGCGGACGTCGAGCACCGGGGCTACTGCGAGGGCGGCGGATTCCCCGTCGCGCTCCGCGACGTCGCGGCGGCCGTGCGCGCCGTCGCGGAGCTCGCGCCGGGCCTCGGCGGGGACCCGGCGCGGCTCTGCCTCTTCGGGAGCGGCTCCGGCGCGTGGCTCGCGGCCATGGCCGCGCTCGTGGGCGCGTGCGGCGACGAAACCATCGTCGACGACCTGCTCGGCGGGCCGCCGCTGGCCGTCGCCGCGGCGGTCTGCGAGGCCGGCCCCGTGGGGGGCTTCGCGGCGCTCGACGTCATGGCCGGCGGCCGCGGCGCGGCGCGGCACGGCGCGGCCCACAGCCCGGCGAGCCGCTTCCTCGGCTTCGCGGCGCCGGCCGACCCGTGGCGCGCGACGCGCGCGGACCCCGCGACCTACGCGACGGCGCGCGCGCCGCCGCTGCTCCTCGTCCACGGCGCCGACGACCCCGTGTGGCCCTGCGGCCAGTCCACGGCGCTCCACGCGGCGCTCGAGGCCGTCGCGCCGGGCCGGTGCCGCCTCGACGTCGTCGCCGGCGCGGGCCACGCGACGCCCCACTTCGCGGCGCCGCCGGTCCGCGAGGCCGAGCTCGCCTTCCTCCGCGGCGCCGTCGGCGAGCCCGCCGCGGACGCCGCCGCGTAGGTCCGGCTTAAAGGTACGCCGCGCCGCGTGCCCGGGCTCCTCGCGCGCGGACCGCGCGCCGACGACGAAGCCGACGCGGCCCGCGCCCGCGGCGAGGCCGACCGCGACGGCCGCGGCGCCCGCGCCGAGGCCCGCGGCCTGGCGCTTGGAGACGGCGACCGCGGGCGCCGCGCCGCCCTCGACGCGGCGGAAGTAGCGGTACGCGGTCACCTTCGACGGCGACGTCAGCGCCATGACCATCGTGTCGGCGTCCTCGAGCTTCCGCGAGTCGAGGACGCGGCCGACGGTGCTGTCGATCGTCGTGCGCATCGTCACGCCGTCCTTGTCCCAGGACGTCGTCTTCGTGTTCGGGTTGCCGTAGGTGTCGGTGGACGCGATGGTCTCGCCGACCTTGACGGTCTCGCACTTCTTGCCGAGGCGGTTGATGACGCAGAGCTTCATGGCGTCGCGGTCCGCGTGGTCGATGTCGTGGTCCACGCCCGCGCGGCACGCGAAGCGCCGGTGCGTCGCCGACACGTTGAGCGACTTGAGGTACGCGTCGAAGTTGACGCTCCGGTCGAGGCGCCACCGGCCCGTGAAGTCGCCGAGGTCCGCGGCGGCCCCGGCGCCGCCGCCGCCCCCGGCGCCGCCGCCGCCGCGCCGCGACGCCAGCGCGCTCGAGCCGGCGCCGAGCGCGAAGGACGCGGCGAGCGGCAGCGAAGACCGCAGCCGCGACGGGTCGCCGCCGTCCGCGGCGCCGTAGAAGCCGCGCGGGCTCCGCGGCGGCCGCGGCGGCCGCAGGCCGCGCGCCGCGAGGACGCTTGCGAGCAGGACGAGCGCGCGGACCATGTGGCGCGAGTGTGCAAGCGGCGTGCGGTGCGGTGTGCAGTCGTGCTGCCGTCGTAGGGCGTGGCGACGTGTCGTGCTTCGCGACGCGGTGAGTTGTGGCAGTCTCGGGTTGTCGACGCTGGTGTCGACGCAATCGACGTTGCCAATCGTTGTCGACGTGCATTCTGCCTTGGAAGTTCATGATGAACTTCAACGTGATTGTACGTGGCGCCGCCAATATCGGCGTCGACGCAAGGACTTACCTAACCGTTACTTACGACTGACATGCGGCCAAAACGACAAAAAATGGGGTACTTTTTTTCGTTGCGTCAAACCCCGTCCGCCGTGTATCGCACCATATGTATGCGGACTTCTATGCCGCAGCACCCCCCCACCTTCCCGCACGCACAAAAACACAAAACTAGTGCCCGCCCGCGGCTTTCTCCGCGGCTCGCCGCTTGAGCTTCGCCGCCTGCTGGGAGAGGTCGACGAAGAGGTGGTCGATGGACGCGCGCGTGATGTGGATGCCCGGCGTGCCGAGCCACTTGGCCTGCTGGTCCTTGGAGAGCGCGTGGGCGAGGCGCACGGTGGAGAGCTTCGTGCGGAGGTCGCCGCGGTGGGCGACGGCGAGGTTCTGGACCGCGTGGGGCAGGACGAGGCCGAGCTTGCGCGCGAGGGGCATGGCCGGGTCGGGCTCGAGGAGCCGGCGGAGCCGGTGGCTCGCCTTGAGCGCGTCGCCGCCGTTCGACGACGTCCAGAGCGACTCGTAGAACTCCGCGAGGCACTCGCCCGCGCCGACCTCCTCGAGGGCCTCGTCGCTCGGCACGGGCACGTCGCGGCCCACGAAGCGGCAGAGCGCCTCGAGGAAGCACGTGTAGGACAGCTCGCGGAACCGCGCGTCCGTGTTGTCGACGAAGGACGTCCGCGAGTAGACGAACGCGCGCCGCGCGCGGACGCGCGACGCCGCCGTGTCGAGGATGCCCGCCTTGGTCAGGAACGCGTACCACTCGGCGAGCGAGAACGACGGCCGGCCCTGGACCATGTGCGTGAGCGCGAACGCGAGGTGGAGCTGCTTGAGCAGGCCGTCGTGGCGGCGCAGGGCCCTGTCGCAGTCCTCCGTGTAGAGCTCCTCGCGCCGGAAGTCGTCGGGGTCGACGAACGTCTCCGGCGGCAGCAGGTCGAGGTGGTCCCGCGTGAAGGCGTCGACGGCCTCCAGGATGCGCTCCGCGCGGTCGACGCCCGGCGGCGGCGCGTCCTCGAGGCCGTAGCGCGCGTCGATGACGCGGAGCGCCGCCTCGACGAACTCGTAGCGGATGAGCATGTCGTCGTCGTTCGCGGCCGCGAGCTCCTTGCTCGCGCCGTGCTCGACGTTGCAGTTGATGAAGATGCGCTGCGCGTCCTCGACGGTCAGCCGCTCGTCGATGAGCCGCGCCTCCTTGAGGAAGAGGAGCCAGGACGTCATCGTCACGTCGAAGGGGTTGCTCGACATGGAGTTGCGCGTCGCGTAGTGCGTGTGGGCCGCGATGAGCCGGTCGTAGAGCCGCCGCGCGCCGTCGGCGAGCGCGGCCTGCACCGCCGGCGACGCCTCCTTGCCGCGCTTCGCGCCGCCGAGCCGCGCGGCGAACTTGGGGAAGCGCGGCAGCCCCGTGAGGTAGGCCCAGTCCTTGGCGAACATGCGCTGGCGCACCTTGGGCGTGTCGTAGAAGGCCTTGGCGTCGGACTCGCCCTTGCGCGGCGCGAAGATGGAGTTGTCGACGACCCAGAGCGGCACGGCGACGGCGTTCTTGCGCCGCTCCGTGACGACGACGGCCTTCTTCGACGCGTAGAGCGCGAGCTCCGGCAGGGGCAGGCGCCCCCAGTCGCCGTCGGGCGCCTCGACGAGCTCGGGCATGTGGTGGGTGGCCGCGCGCCTGTGCGGAAATCAACCACCGGTTTGGGACGTCCCGACCAAACTTTGAAATGTTCTCGCTCGGTCAGTGCTGATGTTTGGACGAATCAATCGCTCTCGTCGAGTTCTCGAAGCACAGCCGAAGCGTCTGGTCCGAGCCGTTCGATTACGCGCACATTGAAGTCAGCGTGAAGATTTGGGTTCCGCGCGGCGGCGCGCGGGCACGCCGGCGGCGGCGGCGCGGCGACGAGCGGCCGCGCGCTCCGCGCGGACGGCACGGCGTAGGCCGACTCCGGCAGCAGGTCCGACGCCTCCGGGGGCCAGCAGGGCGGCGCCTCCGGGTCGGGCCAGCACCCGGGCTCGAGGACCTCGGACGCGACGCGCGTCGACCTGGGCAGGACAAGAGAGATTAAACGTCGCTTCAACGTGAGTGTTCCGCGCGCGCGCGTCCCGAAAAAAAGCATCCAGC